CCCCCTCCCCCTCCTCCGGACCTGCAGTGAAGCAGCATTTGCATGAAGGCTCCCATCTGCTGCCTCTCTTTTGCTTGATTCACTGAGCCCGGAATCCAGTTGAGTAAACTAGGCCTTCTGGAAACTTGAAGCCTCCTTCTCCCGCATGCAGACAGAGCGAAGTGCGAGATGTTCGTTAGGTCTTCGTTGGTGAAATTCAATTCGCCTTTATTTTGAGCTCCTTTTGTTCGGAGAGGCTCTCTTTCGGTGTTTTCTTTGGATTATGTCAAAACAGTTATAAGCATGATTTTTATTTTTATGCTTGCTTCGTATACTAGTACTTCCACTGCATAGCTTTTCTAAAAATCACTAGGAATATTTTTAGGATGACTATTGTTTCTACAGCTATCACGAGCTTTTTATCATTATTAGAATCCTAATACCTCATTATCATGTTTAAAATCTCTTCCTGAATTTGTAGCACTATTTTTGGTGAGCAAGAAAGAAGTACTGGAACAACATCTATGCGCTACTAGTGTCGCCTGCCTCTAAAGCACTTGAATCGAAAGCTCAGGGTTGTTATAAGTTGGTGTGTCAGTCAGATCGCCATCAAAACTTATAATTTCTAGCGATTATAACACACCACTTGGGAACATTATCACGAGTACGTGTACCACTTCCAGATATTAAAATTCTCAAAAAATACAAACTCTTCTCTGCGCAGCTGCTATAAACTACAAGTAAGTTATTGCATAAACATGAGTACATACTTAAGGTAACGTACGACCGTAGTTGCTTTTACATCGTTTTTTATCATTTTCTCATATTATCTAGCTTATTCCTTTTACTTGAAGTATTTACCAATATTGTTTAACCAATTTCTTTCATTTATCTCCCTACATGGCCTTACACATTTCAACAGCCACACCGATGTCTGTTCACTTAGACTTAATGAACACGGCTCCTACAGCGGGAAACCATAATCTTCTAAATAACTGCCAAGCTCCGTGTGTCGCCGACCAACTCTTTTTCACATTCCTTTAACCACAGTCGTGTCTTTCTTTCCTTTTTTATCAACTTCATTTGCTGTTTGACTGCTGTTGTAATTCGTTTTATTCTTTCGACATTCACCCTTTTTCTTCTATCATCGTTAAGGGATTTTATTACTGTTCCCGCTTTCATGTAATCCAGTGCGTGTAACAGCGTCACCATCATTATCGACATTACATTTGCTATGGGAATTATCACCATAATTCTTACACTTGGTTACTGCAGTTGTTGTAAATGTGTTTTTTTTTCATTTAATTACTACTGCGATATGATGATGATGGCAATGATAAAAGCTGCAATAACAACAATAATGATAATACTGATGATGAATACAAATGGAAGTAACAGCTGTACGATTACAATACTTCTTTGTAGCCCTTTCTAAATGGCACCAAGTTATCAGATGACGTTTAACACTGGAACTGTATGTTGTCAGTTTAACGTTGATGTTTCTGTCATGTCACTTAGCATGCATGCTTTCTCTCCACATCTTTGACTACTGTATCGTGTCTGACCTCTGGAATTGTTCTGTTTGCTGAAATTGTTCCATTTGTTTGCATTGACACATCGCGCAATATTACAGTTCTCTCGTATTCGGTGGCCGTTTCGGATTTATGCCTGGCCATTCCTCTTTGATCTAGTAATGTCTGCTATATTTTTTCAGCGAGTGTAAGCAGCAGCATTGTGGTGGTCTGGAATATACACTTTTCCCTTCGTTTTGTTCTGGGTAGCCTATGTTTTGTGATTCATTGTATTCTGATATTTTCCTGCTACTTGGCTCTTCTATATTATAGGATACGATGTTATTTTTACTTTTCTCTTTAGGCTGAGCAGATTATGCACTTGGCAGATGGGTGATGTCTGGTGACAAGGTGACAAGATTGCTGATGACAATCATTAGATAATTGAAAGGTCTATGATGAGATTTAATCGAAACATAACAAAGATAGTGAGACATGTTACATCCAACCAACCTCCAAAGTGCACCTTCACCTCGTCAAAAATAAATCAAGAAATATAAAATCGAGAGTTTCTAAGCTTGTCTTCTGTTGCCATGACGAAGACTCCTTAACCATTGATTTTTAGATGTATTTTACACATCCACGTCACGCTGCTTTTACCTTCCATCGTTTTCTTTCCACCCCGTTTATCTTGTTTACTTGTTTTTGAAATGTCTCTTTTTCGAATGTTTGTTGGTCCATTCTGCTAATCCTCTTTCCACTGTGCCCATTTTGTTGAAATAACCGTCATCCTCTTCGTCATAATCATCATCACTATCAGTACCATCATAATCATCACCATTATAATCATCATCTTCATCGTCATCACTACCACCACCATCATCATCATTTTTATCATTATCATCATCATCATGTTCTGTATCATTATTTTCATTAAGAAAATCAAATCAAACCATTTTGAATATTAATAATACTGTCAGCATTACGAATGACACAGTAAACGTTACTGATTTCTTATTTGTTATACTGATTAATATTAGTGTTGTAATCTAGTTTATTATCGTTAGTGATAATATTATTATTCTCATCCTCATTGCTATTACTGATGATGATGATGATGATGATGATGGTGATAGTGACAATTATAGTTATAGTGATGGTGATAGTGATAATGATGATGATGGTGATTGTGATGGTGATGCTTATCGCCCTTGTCATTTTGCTGTCATTATCACTATCATTGTTTTAATTATTATCGTTATTACCATTACCATTTTATTTATATCATTATTATCACCATCACTGCTATCATTGCCATTATTATTATCATTATTACCATTATCATTATCATCATCATTTGTATCATTATTATTATCATACTTATTATTACTATTTTGATTGATATTATCATATTTTCACTATTATCATCATATTCATCATTATCACTATTACTATTATCATTGTTTTCATTATGATTATGATCAAAATAATTATTTTCTATTTATTATCATTATTATTATTATCATCATTATTATTATCATTATCATTATTATTATTATCATCATTATTATTATTATTATTATTATTATTATTATTGTCATTATTACTATTACTGTTTTTATTACTATTATCATTATCATTATCATTATTATCACTATTATTATTATCACCATCATTATGATTCTCATCGTTAGCCTATCATTATCATTGTTGTTATTATCATTATTATTATTATTATTATTATTATCATTATTATTATTACCATTACTATTATTATTATTATTATTATTATTATTATTATTATTATTATCATCATTATTATTATTTCCCATTTTCATTAATATCGTTATTATCATTACAATTATTATTGCTATAATTCCTATCATTACCATTATCATCATTGTTATCATAATTCTTATCATTAGTAGTGTTTGGAGTTGTAGCAACTGTGTCATTATTCTCATTTGTAACACCATCGCCAGTTTTGTTTTTTTCAACTATTATTACTCTCAGTATAATCATTAAAGATATTAATATTTCTATAATTATAATTATAATATTCGCAGTTATTCTTAATTTGCAACTCATTTTATAAGCAGCCATCATGAAAAATATTATTAATTCTATTATCGCCATGTAAGCTATAATAACACTGGTATCCTCATTGTTATTACCGCTAATATCAATATTACTATTATTCCTATTACTGCCTGCATTGTCTTTATCATCACAATCATCATTACTACTGTCACTAACAATACTATGAAAGTACTAATAGTGACAATATCATATTTTGTATCATTATCACCATTGATATTATTATCACTATTGATGTCATTAGAGCTGTTACTGTTATCGTTATTATCATCATCATAGTTATTACCATAACTGCTATCATGATTACCATTACTATTATTTTTTTTTCTTGAAATCACAGTGAATATAGCCATTATTACTACTATTATCGTTATCATCAGTAGCAGCAGTAACAGTAGTAGTAGTAGTAGTAGTAGTAACAGTACAGTTTCTTCTCCTCCTCATGATCACCATAATGGTTTTTGTTTTCACTATTACCATTAACAGTATGTATTATTCTTTGTTATCAGTATCATAACTTGTAGTGATCTATCGCCATTAACATTATACCATTACCGTCACATAAATAATGATTGTTTTCATTGTTAATATCCATACTCTTACTATTTGTTATGAGAAACAGAAATAACAGATGTTGGTATTGATGATTTCCAAATAGGAGTCACTATATTTTTAGCAACGCTTTTCTTGGAGATTTGTTCCTAGTCATGTACGTGACTGTTCTCGCTTTTTCTGCCTCTTTACTTTGTACATTGCCGTGGCCAACTTTTTCCCTATACCATTGTTTTTTTCTACAGTGAAAAGGGCCAACCTATACCTTTGTGTATTTCTACACTCAAAATGCAATATTGAAAGTATGTAAATACATAAATAATCGTTTTATTGACAGAGGTGCTAATCGCTCGCTCCTGGAAGACTTTCGTTTTCTGTTGGCCGCCAATGGTAGTTCCTCGCGCCGCACGTGACTCACGTGTTATGAGTTATATTGTAGTTGTGACAAAGACAAGAGTACGTTCCTTTTGCAGGAGACTCGCCATAATCATTTATGCAAAGCAACTATACCTCTTGAATATAGGAAATATATAGGAATAAATAGGTAATATTTATTTCCTTTCTCTCAAATTTACTTCGAAGTTTTCATTTCACTTTGTGAATGAACGGCTGATGCTCAATTCAATCACAATAAAGATTAATATCACAAACCCAAACACGATAACACTTGCTAACTAACATTATATCATCGTATCTTAAATCTATCGCAAACGAAGATAGCAGCACATGAGGCAACACCGCGCCCCCGACGAGGCCGACGCCCGTGCAGTCACCGCCACGAGCCTCGGCGTTACAAGGGACAAGTGAGCAAGGCAGGTGACCCATAGGCCTCATCTTGAGGCGTCCGTCTTGTTGACTCACCTGGGGTCGGGGTAGAGGGGCCAGCACCGAGTCATACAGGCCCCCATGGTGTTGCCTGCGGGCGTAGGCGTGCCGGCCACAACTCACACGCACTTGAGGTCCGCATGGGCGTTCAGAGTCACGCAGAAGGCAGCCACACACAGAGAAATACGGTGCAGCACGGCGCCGTCCGCCATGCCGGGCCAGCTGGGCTCTTCCACCGCCACCGCGCGCCCGTAATCAATAGTGTGTCCGAGGCGGCCCACGCTGGCGGTCCATGGCGGGACACTGACTCATGGCACGGGCCGTCGCGGATCCTCGACTTCTCGCCGCTCACTGACTGACAGCGCCGCACAGCCGCCGGCAACCAACAGGATCGTATTGCCGGACGCCGCCAGCGCCGCGCGAGGCTGCCGCTAGTGATGTTGCTCATTTCATTGTTTCAACGTCAGCAGGTTCGCACGTAGTCTTATCAGCTGATATCTGTGTCTAGCAACACGTGGCCTGCCGAGACGCCTCTTCGCGTAATTGTATGTGATAAGTGGACCATTGTTACCCCAGTACACTTTTCACTTGCTACTACACGGCAAAAGACTTCCTACTCCTTATCAAGAGGACCGATTTCACGCGTCATTGCTCTCCGTTACCTGTACCGAATATTCTCCTCTTTGTAACGAAGTATGTCAAAGGCCGATCCTTTGTAGCCTTTTAGCATGTTTGTAACGCCCTCTAAGAGCCACGAATGTCGGACATGCTCCCCAGCAGTGTTGTGAACCCGCTTTCCATGCTGTTCATACTGTTCTCCAGCATCCATTAAGGCCTCCTTTGACAGTGACGCTTCAGATTTTATCTTTCATGAATGCTCTCTTCGCATTAATGAAATTAATAAATAAATAAATTAATGTTCATAAATATATATATATATATATATATATATATATATATATATATATATATATATATATATATATATATATATATATATATATATGTATATATATATATTCATATATATATATATATATATATATATATATATATATATATATATATATATATATATATATATTTATATATATTCATGTATATATATATATATATATATATATATATATATATATATATATATATATATATATATATATATATATATCATATATATACATATATACACATATGTATATACATATATATATATATACATATATATACATACATACATATTTATATATATATATATATATATATATATATATATATATATATATATATATATATATATGTATATATATATTACATATATATACATATATATATATATATATATATATATATATATATATATATATATATATATATATATATATATATATACATATATATATATATTTATATATATATATATATATATATATATATATATATATATATATATATATATATATATATATATATATATATATATATATATATATGGTAAAAAAACACAATGCAAAAACCAGATTTATTGAAAAATGAGACTACAGTTTCGAAATCCATCTGGATTCCATCCTCAGGTCTGAAGAGGAAAGGGAGAGGAGGGAGAGTAAAAGAGAGAGAGGAGAGGTAACACAGGGTAGGTGAGGAGAGACGAGCGAAGGGAGGTCAGATCAGGTCGGAGGATCGGGCGGACTATGCGTAGGGTGAACCAGCATTAGGGAGAAGGCGCAGGATGTAGGAAGTAAGGAGACTATCGGCAGGAGGATAGTCGCTGTTCAAGTTGAAATTGGGCAGCAGATTTGTTAAGGAGGATTCCGCCAATCGGCGGTCGTGGACATCAGCGGAAGGAAAGACAATTCGCGCCGCTGACCAGTCCATCTGATGGCCTGTGTCCCATTGATGACAAAAGAAGGCGTTGTTTTTCGTGTTCCCTGCATACAGCGTACTTATTTTGAGACAGACGCTTAGTGAGACTGGCGCCCGTCTCGCCAAAGTATTCCTTATCACAGGAGGCACAAGGAACAGCATAGGTGCCCACCTTCGAGGTAGAGGGAGGACTGGTGTGGACCAGGTTGCGACGGAGAGTGTTCACCTTGCGAAAGATCAGCCTGCAGGTGAGAGGATGAAGAGGGCGAGTAGATCGCCTCAGTGTAGGGCAGGCAGAGTACGGGCAGGTGAGGAGTCTCTTTAAGGAGAGGAGTCGTGGTACTGTATGTATATATTTGAATTTATGTGTATAAATACATGTAATTATATTTGTATATATAAATACACACACACACACACATGCACACAGACACACACACACACACACACACACAAACAAACACGCACACACACACACACACACACACACACACACATCCGTCCTTCCTAACCTTATGTTTATACTAGAATCACATTTTTGGTAAATAGCATTAATGACATGAGTTGCCAAGATATTCCTGTGTATCCATTTGACGTTTGGAAACATCATCCACACTAGTATTTCGCCTCTTAAGGAATAACAAAGAAACAAGAGGAAAAAAAACAAATACACATAGAAAAACAAAAAAATATATGAATAGTCTTACATGAAATATAAACATTAATTAGTATATCGCTGGTTACATGAATATGATTTTACAAGCACTTCGGTAACATCTTGGGCATTCTTGATGTAAGGAAATATATAGTGTATGACGTGTATAGTCGATATTTAATTTATATCAATTTATTATGCAAAATTATATTTTAAAATTATTACTACATACTGTATAAAAAGTTCCTATATATAACAACTTTACATCATTAATAACATACAGAACAAAATAAATCGGTGAATAAATAGCTAAAACATTGTGCCTACTAAGTGATCTGTACTTTGATATAATATCAAGGTATTTGTATTATACACTGAAGTGAATTGGTCGCTTTCAAGGTTATTTCCATATTATGTATGTTTGTATATATGTACACACACACACACACACACACACACACACACACACACACACACACACACACACACATATATATATATATATATATATATATATATATATATATATATATATATATATGCACACACACTCACACACACACACACACAGACACATATGTACCGTTTACGTCAGCATGCAAGCCGATCCGGCACCTCATTGATGTGTACTTTAAGCCAATCTTTGCCGGATAAAACGACCCCAGAAAATAAGGCGGCTCCGCTTCCCTCGCCCCGATGTGTGGGAGGAAAACAAAACAGTATCTCATAAGCAACTCCCAGACACTTCTTCTAAAACCCTTTCGCAGCAAGTGAGTTCTAACACAAACCAGCCGAACCTAACCAAACCTAACCTACCTAAGTTTCAGCGGGAGATGGGAAGTGGTGCGCGACGAGCGTTAAGCAGTTCCACTTGTCTACCCTTCGGTGGTCCACATCTTACATTCGGCTTCAAATGTCGATATTAGGTGCTAATATATATATTTATATATATATATATATATATATATGTGTATGTGTGTATGTGTGTGTGTGTGTGTGTGTGTGTGTGTGTGTGTGTGTGTGTGTGTGTGTGTGTGTGTGTGTGTGTGTGTGTGTGTGTGTGTGTGTGTGTACACACACGCATGTATGTTCGTATACATGTTTGCATGTGTGTGTATATATATGTATATATGTACATATATATATACATATACATATATATAAGTATAAATATATACTTTATATTCATATACATATATTCATGTACACACACGTGTTTATATATATATATGTCGAAAAGTTATGAATGAGAATGAATATCTTCACAATACAAGAAATGTATTTGACCGGTTATATCTTCGTCAGAAATACTATGAATTTCTAACGAAGATATATCGAACCGGTCATATGATATATATATATATATATATATATATATATATATATGTCGAAAAGTTATGAATGAGAATGAATATCTTCACAATACAAGAAATGTATTTGACCGGTTATATCTTCGTCAGAAATACTATGAATTTCTAACGAAGATATAATCGAAACCGGTCATATGTACTGTGAAGATATTCATTCTCATTCATACCTTTTCTACATTTGTCAATATGAATATGGTTATATATATACATATATATATATTTATATATATATATATATATACATATATATATATATATATATATATATATATATATATATATATATATATATATATGTTGAACACACACATATCTTATTATTTATATATTTTTTTATTTACACATTCACACACACACACACACATACACACACACACACACACACACACACACACACACACACACACACACACACACACACCACACACATACACACCCACACCCACACACACACACACCACACACACACACACACACACACACACACACACACACACACACACACACACACACACACATACACACACACCCACTCACCCACACACACACACGCACAAACACACACACACACACACACACACACACACACACACACACACACACACACACACACACACACACACACATGTAAGCAGACGAAGCCATGGATACACAAATTCCGGGTAGACACAGCATACGGATAATAAAAAGTGGATAGATATAACTTGGAAAATATGTTTCTCATTGTCCTCATACAGGCGTTTCTTAAATATGCAACTCAGGCTCAATTGCATGTAGATGTACGGTATGCCCTGAAGCAATCAAGACCACTTTGGTGCGTTATTTTTAGAACAATGCATGAAATTGCCATACCTTTCTCACGCAAGCAAGCACACACACGCACGCTAATATAGGTATCAGTTTCTTTATCAAACCTATTATCTATATCTATTAATAAATACTTTTTACTGTTAATAGTCTTGAATTATATTACATTTCTCCATTGTTATTTGTCGAGAATGGAAAATGAATATAATGGCAGTATATATACGTACATTTTTTTTCTTTTTTTTTTTTTTACATTCGTGTTGAGAAGAATATGCTTGACGTCACCGTATAATATAATTAGAAATGAAAAACAAAGATTTTAACATAACATAGCCCTCTAGTCACACGTAAAGCTAACATCTCTAACAGATGAATATAAAGTGTTTTCACTGCTCGGCCCCACCAGAGGCATTCGCTGGATCCATTGTGGCCGCGGATGCCTCCTGCGGCGGCGGCGGGAAACGAGCGGAATCTGCTGCGAGTCGCGCGGCGTTTCTGGAAGGCAGAAGGGGAGTTAATAGAAAATATATTTCGTTTATTTATACTCGTGTGTTTGTATGTCTGATGTGTATATGTCGGAGATATATCTCTGTTCTTCTATTTAGCTACCTGTCTGTCTACCTATATATTTATCTGTCTGTCTGTTTAACTATCTTTCTATCTCTTCATCTATCTACTTATCTGTCTAACTACCTAACCAT